AAAAAGCCGGAAAAGAGCTTCTACACTGGCCCCGATCTTCCGGAAAAAAAGCCCTTTTCCGGAGGCTCTTATTCCTACTTCAAAGTAGGAATAAGATCCTCCGGAAAAGGGCACTTTTTCCAGAGGATCGGGGCCAGTGTAGACGCTCTTTTCCGGCTTTTCTAAAAGCCGGAAAAAAGCGGCGGACATTTTTATTTAAATGCCGCGGGGGATATTTAAATCCCCCGCGGATTTCCCTATTACGGCTTCTGAAATTAACATGCCCCTTCCGGAAAAGGGGCCAGTGTAGACGTAGCCTGCCTGTTCTACTTACATATCTGTTGTTCCAAGGTTAGTCCTTCCCTAGGCACAGATATTGCTGGAAATTCCATGTCTTGTTTCTGGCTTAAATCATCACTCCCAGCTCTCCTTTGCTCACACAAAAGACTTCAGCAGGGTGGTCCTATTTCAATTAAAAAACTCACACTCATTTGTCATTTGTTCTTCTAGTTCCCTGCCAACACTTCCTGGAAACTCTCAAGCATCCACAGTCTATGGGTTTAACTCTTACTGGTAATTAAGTTAACTGAATGGCTGGGATGTACCTCTCCTTTTCCTCAAAGATGTAATCATCTGTCATTTGTGACATCATAATTCATTATCCCGAAAACAGCTGTGAAGTGTAAAACATCACTCTGAAAGGTAGGCTGAAGTCAGAAGGGATGAGAATCTGTTTACACACAAATACTGAGGTAATTAGTAAAGACGGTGAAAGTGACACAAGAAACTTTGAAGGAGGTTTACAGGGCAAAGGGCTTTTCAGGAGCTGTCTGTCTTCAGTAACTTGTTATCCCAGGTCTCTGCTCATATGGTGATGTATTGCATGGCTAAAACACTGCGTCAGTTTTATGTTGTAGGAAGCATGTGACTATGGCTGTGTCTAGACTATACAGTTCTATCAGAAAAAGATACACAAATTGTGAACCGCAATTTGCGTATCTTTTCCCAATTCTTTTGTCAGAAATGACTTTTCTGACATTTGGTGCATTTGCACTGAGCCAAATGTTGGGAAAAAACCCTTTTTCAGAACATCCCTTCTTCCTCATAAAATGAGGTTTAGAGGGTTGCTGGAAAAATGGGTCTGCTTTTCTGATTTTTTTTTTTTTTTTTTTTTTGGAAAAGCAAACGTGTTCCTTGGACACAGCAGAGTTTTTCCAGGATATCAGAGGTATTCCAGAAAAACTCTGCAGTGTTGACATAGCCTATGATTCAATCTGGAAAAGGAAGTTAACCACACATGTACATATATACACAACATTCTGATCCTGCCAGCTGTTGCCAATTGGTTATTTAGGCTTGGTCTATTCCAGTGGTTTTCAAACTATGGGTCACGACCCAGCACTGGGTTGTGGAATGTCAGGCACTGGGTCTTATTGCTGCAGGGGTATCAGGTGACCACTGGGGGTGCCAATGCAGGCTTCTTGTCTGTCCTGACACCGCAGGTTGTGCTGCCGTCTGGAAGTAGCTAGCAACAGGCCCAGTTCCTAGAAGCGTGGTGGGGGCGAGCACACAGGGCTCCATGCACTGTCCCTGCCTGAACACTAGCTCAGCACTCCCATTGCTGAGAACCTGCTGTTGGCTGCTTCTGGGGTGCAGCATGGTCTGCAGTGCCAGGAGAGGCAGGAAGCTGCCTTAGCACCCACGCTACACTGCTGACTGGAAGCTGCTCAAGGTAAACCCCGCCTGCCACAGTCCTGTACCCCGAAAGCTGTACCCCCCTCCTACATCCTCAGCCCCACCCTGGTACCTGCACTCCAGTCAAATTATGTTGGGTCATGGGCATTAATGGTTTTCTTCAACTGGGTTATGAGAAAAAAAGTTTGAAAACCACTGGTCTGTGCTATGAACTATGTTCAAGTTTTATTGTAACTTTGTTACAGTTTTATTGTAAATTTACCATAATAAAATGTTAGTTAGGTCAACATAGCAATGTTGGTCAGGGCTGTGAAAAAAATCACACCCTTGATATTTGACGTAACCCCAAGTTACGTCAGCTGTAACTACAGACAGATGACATTCTTATACTGATGGAAAGATCCCTTCTGGTGCTGTAAGTTGCATCTTTATAACAAGGGTCTGCTGGCATAGCTATGCAGGTATAGTCTCTGTAATGTGGACACAACTTTAAAGCCCGAGCTGTTGTTTAGTTAAATCTTATCTCAACTTCTTCACCTCGTGACACTCCCCCACAAAGAGGTGCTCAATGAAGCCTCAGAGTGACACTGGTGTTTGTAGTAATGTACATTTAAATGATAAGCAAACCCAAGGAAGCTTTTACACATGACAGCAGGAACAGCTGATGTGAACAGGAGGAAATAAATTGTAAGTCTCAGCTACTTGGGGATACTCATATGAGATAATTTATTTAAAGACTGTATTTGATGGCAATATGCTGTTCGTACGGACAATCTTTTTTACATGAACCTTTAGTTATACTAAAACAATTTGTATTGTACTGTTAATAGAAATGATCTATGATGTTTGCCTTGGAGTCACAGAGAGGAAAGGCTAAATGGACAGATGTCTTTACTGAACAATAATTCAACAGAGTTTGTGTGTGTGTGTGTGTGTGTGTGGGAGGACGTAGCGTGAGACATTTGTTAATTACTGACAAGTACAAGTGGCAAAAATTGGGCATACATAGCAGAGTGTAAAGAACATGTTAGAAGTGATCAGGTCCAATATATATCTGCATATAGAGCTCAGTGTTTTTACTTGTGGAGTGTTCTCTTCAGCTTCCATCTTATAGTTGATTGTTCACATTCCCCATATCTGGGGCAGACTTTGAGCTGTGGCTTTCATCTGTACACTGGCAAAAATGTGCAAGGTGTACAATTTTTAGTGCTTGCAAAATTACTTATTGACTCAGTTTCTTCATGGGCATTCCTCTTGTTGCAAATGAACTAGGAAACTGAGCACTCAAATCAGCCGGTTCACTGACACAGACATGTAACTCTGCAGGTGCAAACATTTGTGCACACCTTTTTATACGTGTCAGAAATCAGAGGATGGTTTGAAGCCTGGGGAAAATGTGGTCTTGCAACTGCAAGTATCTTCTGGGATTGTTCATAGTTATTATGTCAGCTGCTGTGCAGTAGACTTGAAGTTCAAAGGTTTTCTAGCATGCAGCCTGTTACAAATGTTTGCCTCTTGTTTTACTAGCCAGCATTGTGAACTTTCACATTGACTGTTACACTAGCTGCCATGAAAACACTACCCAATCTTACTAGTCTGGAATATGCACAGTGACAGAAAAGACACTGTTCTATAGACAAAGCAGCACCTTGAGTGTTGCAAATAGGTTTAGAGATAATCAAAGGGTTTAATTCATGCTGCTGGCATTCTCAAGTGTCTATTGCTCAAGAGCTACTTTGACGGTGGCTCATGTCATAACCACTCTAGTTTTTCAAAGCACCATGGAAAATAGCCTGATTAGGAGGTGGGGGGAGGGGAGAGGAAAGCAAAACCATGATGTTTCATACTTCAATCTGGATGAATTAGGTGGGTTTTTTTAGAAGAAACTTTTCAGGGTACAATATGTCCTAAAGTATAAATTCTTCTGGTAGTAAACAATGCAGTTATTGTTATGCTGAGACTAGCTAGCAATATAACTCCCTCTTCTGATACGCAAAGGATATTTTTCTATTTGGCTGAAATTTTTTCAAGCATGGAAAAATGATTGTGTTTAAATTTTCAGCAAAATCTGTTTAGCTTTCTGAAATTATGCAAAGCTTCTGATCTACTCTGAATCCAATTCACAGTTGCGTGAACCTTTTTAATACTCAGTAGGGACATATGCAAACCCCATGTCTCCTGATAGTCCCTCTGCAAACAACCCCATCTGTTTACTCCATTGCTCTGTGCCTCCTCTTTGTCCCTACCTGCTGGATCATCCCCCAGCGGGATCCCCTTTTCATACAAATTACCTATGAAGGATGTGGAAGCACCATCAGTGGAGAAGTCTCAGAGAGGCAGCTGTGTTAGTCTGTATCTTTAAAAATTAGTAGCCCTGTAGCAACTAAAGGGTGTGTCTACACTGCAGGGCTATAGATTATTTTGAAATAGGAAGCCTCTATACAGCATTTATTTTGAAATAGAGCACTCTTTCACTGACTTTCCTTATTCCTCTACAATGAGGGTTACAGGAGTTAGAGTAAGAAGTCCTCCAGTTTGACAGTATTTTGACACTATTTCGAAATAACTGTCTGCTGTGTTATTTTGGAATAGTGCTAGTTATTTCAAAATAGTGTTGCAGTGTAGATGTACCCTAAGAGACTAACAAAAATAGATCATATCATGAGCTTTCATGGGTAAAGCCCACTTTTTCAGATGATGAGCATCAGTGGAGGTTTTTAAGAACAAGTTAGACTAGTACCTGTCAGAGATATTCAAGATAATACTTAGTCCTTCCTCAGGGAAAGGGACTGGACTAGATGACCAATGGGGTCCCTTTCAATCCTACGTTTCTAAGATTTCTATGCTTTAGAGAGCCCCATGAGAAGATTAAGATTGATTACAGACTATAAGGGGGTAAACTGCCTCACCTGACCCCACCCATGCCCAACCCTATACCATGCCTGCTGGCCAGCTCTCTGCAGCTCTGGTGCTGGGGCTCTGCAGGGCGGGTGTGGGGGGGCTTGTCTCACCAAGTCATTGGGTCACCCACCTCCCATGCTAACAGAGAAAGGTCTAACACACTCCAGGGACTGGATTTTGAACCAAAAGAAATTCAGACTGGAAATGCAGCATCAAACCATAGGAACAATTCCCCAGGGGGTCACTGTGGATTTTTTTTATCATTGGACATTTTAAAATCAGCGTTGGATGTTTTTTCTCAATGATCTTCCCTAGGAATTCATTTGGGAAAATGTTATGGGCTGTGAGATACAGGAAGTTATACAAACTCCTTTCCACGTCTGTCAAGTACCAAATTTAAAGCCAGCTATTTACTACTGAAAGGCTAATTCATTAGCTTTCTGCACCAGCGCATACTTCTTTCACCCATATTTTCAGCTACCTGTAGGAAGCAGACCTGTGCATTAACGGGAACACATTTGATTGCAATAAAGGAATCCTCCCAAGTTCAAAATAACTGTATTACCTCATAAAGGAATTTTTTAAAAGCATCTGTGTCTTCATCGGAATTCTCCCTGCAGTGTTTTGTGTCCTTATAAGTGTGCCAGCAACACCTTTTAAGGAGCCTTTTCAGCTGTGTTTTATCAGCCAACATGCTGTTGATACCAATATGGGAATTAAGAAAGCATTAGAAAAATATTGAGTAATGTGGCTTTGCAAATGTTAAATATTCAGAATGCTTTATAAAATATTTGATTCTTAAATACTCTAATGGGCATCAGTCATATTGCTGTAAAAAGAGCAACATTGGACTGAGATCGTATTTGGGAGTTAACAATGGGCCAGATACCTATCTGCTGCTGAAGGGCATAACTCTAAGAAGTCAAAGAAGCTGCACCCACTTTCACTAGCACAAGTATATGGTCCTATAAGTCCAGCTAATTCTCTTCAGCAAGT